GCAGTGAAGTGACCACTGCACCACCAGAGCCCTTGCAGAATAATGACAACCGTACACAGACTGGTGAGTGAAGACAGTCCCCTGGGGTGTAGAAGCTGGACACAGGCAGTGGCTAACGTCAAGGCTGGCGGTTACAGGCCACCTTGTCAGGAAGGCCCGGTGTCGGTCACTGAGAACTCGATGGCACGCAGATCAAGCCTGACACGCTGTTAACCGGGCACACACAGGCAGGCTCAGACCACCAACAAAAACACTCACTTCTCACGCCCCCACGGACCCTGTGCCAAAGTGACCGGCACTGAGCTCACCAGCTCTGGGTCACCATCGCGACTGGAGGAGGCCACCAGAGGGGACAAGCAGCCTGGGAAAGACTCCGATAGCCTGCGCTGCCCTACACCCTGGAGTCAACAGTGTCCTGACGGCAGGAGGCCTGGGGTGCTTTCAGCATGACTGCACTAAGGTGAGTCTACTGGGGTGATTCTGTCCCCAGGTCATGTCTGGAGACATCTCTGGTTGTCAGACCCTGCCCAAGTGTGCACAGGACGCCCCACCTCAGAGGAGGATCCCTCGAGCCAGGAGTGTTGAGGGGACACCCTGTATGATTTTACCTGGAGAACTAAATTCAATGTCCATTCACACCGTACACAGAACCCCTCTCTGGGTCAGACCGTGTAAACCAAGGGGTCCTCCACCATCTGCAGCCCCCTCCTCACTCAGCATGTGGGTCTCTGTGGGCAGCGACCCAGGACATCAGATCATCAGATGGATACAGTCTCTTGGGGGTCCTCGCCCAGGGTGAGTCGGCTCCCGGAGGACATCTGGTGATGTCTGGGGACATCTTTGTCAGGACTAGGGGGAGGAGAGGCTATTGGCCGCAGGTGGGTGGGGAGCAGGGAGGCTCAACACCCCGCAGTGCCCTGGATGCCTCCTGTCCACAGGGCCAGGGGGGCCTTGCTCCATACTACGAGTCCCAGGAAGCGTCCTTCCACAGAGCTGTGGAGGGGTCAGGAGGACCAGATTCCTGCTCCAGACAGAGAATGAGACCCCAGCTCGTCCGGATGACCAGAGTCCAGCTCTAGCCTCACCCCTGGGAGAGGGACATTTAAAAGCTCTGCAGCCCAGAGTCCAGTGCAGGTCGGGGGATGAGAACCAGAAAAGCATCCATGAGTTCAGTCGGTCACTCCATGGGCAGGGGTGGCTCAGGGGTGGCTTTTGCGGCATGGCCGGGAGGGACGGCACGCACCTAGCTGCTCAAGCAACCACACAAGGCCCACCTGGTTGCAAACAGGTCCAAGCTGCTGGCCAGGTGGCTGGCTTCCTGGGGCCTGGAGGTGGGCGGCAGGCATGGACCAGTGACCCCTGCACACCCCCAACGCCTGAGGAGGCACGTGGGAGCAAAGGGCGTGGGAGGAGCCCTCTCCCAGCCTGGGAGCTCCAAGCCGGAAGCAGCGGAGCTCCGGCCGGCAGGGGAGGGGGAGGGAAGAATTCCAGGAAAAGCAGGCCTGGCTCCTGCCTGGTGCAGTGGGGACTCAAGCACAGGTCCCCACGCCCGTCTGCTACAGGAACAGCGTCTGTCACGGCTGCCCTGAGCTAGGCCAACATCGGTCTGACCCCCAGGTCGTCCCTGCACCAGGGGGACGGGCATTCATCCTCGGTCACTGCTAACACTCTGCTGCTTGACAGGAAGGTGGCAGATGCACGTGGATCCGGAGGCCTTGGGATCGTGTCTGAAAACCCTCCATGCTCACACAGGAGTTGGGGTCAGGCTCTCTGTCCCCGGGTTTAAGCTGCTGACCCTCCTGGCCCATCCCCGGGATCCTCCCAGCAAAAGTCTGCAGTCTGGGTTACAAGGTGGCTCGGACAGGGATTTTTCAGGAGGGAGGATCCTAAACTCCCTTTGATCCCCAGGGGAGTCAACCCTCAAGCCCGAGGGCCTCCTCCAGGAAGTCCTCCTGAGCCCACAGCTGCCTGTCTGCACCTCTGCTGGCACCTCTACCCTCCTCCCTTGGGGGCACAGGTATGTCGGGGTCACACACACACACACACACACACACAAGCTCCACTGGAGAAAAGCCTGGCAATCTGACAGTCCGTCCTCCCGCGGACCAGGTGGTGGCCTTATGCCGCAGGCTGCCCGGGACTGCTGTGCAGCTCCTGGCCACGAGGCCGCCAGGCTCCCTCCGGTGTAATAGTAAAGACTTCCACTGCTGCGTGCCCTCCGCGGGTGGCGATGGCCAGCCAACGAGACAATGAGCCAATGAGCGGAGCCAGCGTTTTCACCTTTACAAAAGCCAGGCCTTTCTTCTGCAGTGCTACGGGGTCCGGTTGAACTGCCAACCTTTGGGTCAGCACTCAAGCACAAACAGATGGGGTTCACACAGGTCACAGTCCAAAACACCCTGCAGGGTAGCTCCCCCCCATCACAGTGTGGTACAGGCCAACAACTGACTAGTCGTGACTCAGTGGTGACAGTAACATGTGAACATTTTTACTCTCTGGCCCAGGCCTGAGAGGGACGAGGAAAACTCACTGTCCACCAAGATCTACCCCTTTCTGAGCGGCCGACCAGTAAGGTGCCCCTTCACCCAGATTCAGCACCACAAACCGAACCCACAGCCGCCATCCACCCGCGCACCCCGTGACACCCCCTCCTCCCACCTCGGCCATCAGCCTGCACCCTGCCCCACGCGTCCCTCGGTGCAGGAGCGAGACCTGGACACCCCGAGAAGGGCAGGGCGAGGGTTCCTGTTGTGTAAACGGCCTTCCTGCCTCTGACGGCAAAGCAAGTCCTTCAACAGCCCTTATTTGGGGTGACAACACTTTGCTGACAGCTGGGCCAACTTGCTACCTGCAACAGGTGCGTCTTAGGGAGAGGAAGCCCTGGACACAAACGGTCTTCCCCGTTTCAGAAGCAAGGAAAACGACCCGGCCATGGGCTAATCCCCAGGGCTGCCTCCACCTCCCAGCTTCCACGGCCCCATTTTCCAAGAGCAAAGAGCCTACAGGTCACCCCCTACACTTTCAGGAAAGTGGGGCTCAGAGTGTCCATTTTGAAAACTTGCAGAGGTGCCCAACACCTCACCAGCTAAAACTGGGGAACCCCAAGAGAGGAGCACCTTCTCTACCCCCTGCAGGGGGGTGTTGTTTCCTGGTCTGAGGGTGTGGAGACAGGACAGTGGCCCTGAGGGAAAGCATCTCAGGGGGGACAGACCAGACGGGTGGAGCACAGGACCCCACTTGTGGGAAGGGTTCAGATAGGAAGTGGGGGGGGTATGGGGTGCAGCAGCAGGTAGATTACAGCTCTTGAGGGGGGTTCATCTGAGGAGACAGGCAAGACAGGCTCGGATATCCCGAGGTTGCACAGCAAACAGAAGAGACAGGCTGGCCTCAGATGGTTTCGGGGTGCACTTTCACTACCACAGAAAGGCGATGCCTGGAGGGTCTGGGGTACACCCTAGCCAAGAGGCAGGCTGGCCCTGGAGGTCTTAGGGTGCGCCCTGATCAGAGGACAGAAGGCTGGCCCCCGAAAGGTCTGGGGATACACCCTAGCTCCAAAGAGTTTAGGGACACTCTTTCACCAGCAAATACATGGCTAGCCTCAGCAGCTCGGGGAGTCAACCCGGAATAGGGGAGCAAAGCCGATCTGGGGTGCACTGGAAGTTCCAACGGGACAGTGGGATCCTGGGGTGCACCCTAGCCAGCAGAGGCAAGCTTCCCAGAGGTTTAGGGTACACTCTGGACTGGAGGGAGGCTGCTGGTGGTTTAGAGGCACAGCCCGGCCAGGTGGCGCAGTCTGCGGTGCACCCTAGTCAAAGGAAACAGACTGCCCAGAGATTTGGGGGTACACTCCGCCCAGGAGACAGGCAATGGAACAGGGGCTGTTGGGGTACCCTAGCCAAGAACTGATGCTGCCAGAAAGGTTTGGGGGGTGCACCCGAGTCAGGGCACCAACTGCCCGTTTGGGGGTGCGCCCTGGCTAACGGAAGTAGGCTTCCAGAAATTTGGGGGTACACCCTGGCCAATGAAGACAGGCAGCCCTGAGGCTTGGGGTATGCACCAGTCTGGGGGTACAGAGGCACACCCTAGCCAGAAAACAGACTACTCGGATGTTGAGGGCACACCCTGGCCAGAAGACACAATACCCAGAGACTTGGGGGGCACCCTAGCCAAGAGGCGGGCCATCAGGGATTTGGGGGCGCACTCTGGATGGGAGGCAGGCCGTTGGCGGTCTGGGGGTGCTCCAGCCTGGAGGCCGGCCGCCCGAGAATCTGGGGGGCCCCCCGGGAGTCTCGGGGTGCGCCCGGCTGAGAGGCCGGCCGCCCGGGAATCTGAAGGTCCCCCAGGAATCTGGGGGTGCTCCCAGCTGGGAGACCGGCCGCCTGGGAGTCTGGGGGTCCCCCCGGGAGTCTGGGGGTGCTCCCGGCTGGGAGGCCGGCCGCCCGGGAATCTGGGGGTCCCCCGGGAGTCTGGGGGTGCTCCCGGCTGGGAGGCCAGCAGTCCGGGAGTCTAGAGGGGTCCCCCCGGGAATCTGGGGGTGCTCCTGGCTGGGAGGGAGACCTCCCGGGAACCTGGGGTCCCTGTGGGAGTCTCGGGGTGCTCCCGGCTGGGAGGCCGGCCGTCCGGGAGTCTCGGGGTCCCTGCGGGAGTCTCGGGGTGCTCCCGATCGGGAGGCCGGCCGCCCGAGAGTCTGGGGGTCCCCGTAGGAATCTGGGGGTGCTCCGGCTTGGGAGGTCGGCAGCCCGGGAGTCTCGGGGTGCTCCCGATCGGGAGGCCGGCCGCCCGGGAGTCTCGGGGTCCCCGTGGGAATCTGGGGGTGCTCCGGCTGGGAGGTCGGCAGCCCGGGAGTCTCGGGGTCCCTGCGGGAGTCTCGGGGTGCTCCCGATCGGGAGGCCGGCCGCCCGGGAGTCTCGGGGTCCCTGCGGGAGTCTCGGGGTGCTCCCGATCGGGAGGCCGGCCGGCCCGGCCAGCAGCGCGCGGACAGGCCCGGGCGCCCCACTCACCGAGCAGCAGCAGCTTGAGCTCGCGCCGGGCGTCGCGCTTGTCCCGCCGCAGCTGCTTCTCGATCTCGGCGTTGATCCGCTTGGATTCCTTCACCTCATCGCTGAGGCAACACGCCATCATGGACTCCAGAGTCATCGTCCCGGCCCCGGCCGCC